GCTGATCTCGCGCTCGTGAATGTGGTCCGTCAGGCTGTAGGGCATCAGGTTATCCTTGAGCAGGTTGACGTCGTTCTTGGGCGAGGGCTTAGTGCCGGCGCCCGAGTATCCGGAGATGCCGAAGACGGAGGGGGAACCGCCGAGGTGCTCAACCAAAGGGGCAATGCCGAGCTGCGCGGCAGTGGCGTAGCAGCCGGGGTTGGAGATCTTGTCGGCCTTGTAGATCTCGGAGCGGCCGGTTAACTCAGGAAGACCGTACGTCCAAGTGCTGTCGAAGCGGTAGTCGGCGGAAAGGTCGACAATGACGCTGCGGTGGTCGGCGCCGGCCTTGCGGGCGTCGTTAATGGCCTCGATGTAAGGCTTGCAAACGCCGTTGGGGAGAGCCATGACCCAGCAGTCGATGGCGCCCTTCTTCTCGAGCTCGGTGACCTGGTCGGGGCTCAGGTTCTCGTAGACGACCTCGCGCTTAGTGTAGCCCTCAAGCTTCTGGCCGGCGAGCTCGCGAGACGAGACGTGGCGGAGATCCATGCTGGGGTGGGCGTTGAGCATCTCAATAAGAGCCTGGCCGGTGTAGCCACGGGCGCCAATCAGGGCGACGCGGGAGGGGGCGTCGTTGGAAGCGTTCTTCTTGCCCAGAGGAGGGTTGGGGTTGGTGGTGGTGTACGTGGCGAAAGTGCGCTTGCCAGAAAGGCTGGCGGCGGCAGGAGCCCATGTCGGGCGGCGAGCCATCGTCGAGAAGCCGCGGGCCTGGGCGGGCGCGGTGGCCTGGTTGAGGTTGCGGTTCGAGGTCTGGGCGGCGCGGCGCAGGCGGGCCTCGAGGTTGGAGTCGCCAAGCATGGCGCGGCCGTGGGCGTTGAACTCGTCGGTCAAGACGCCGAGCTCCTGGAGGTTATCGATACCGTACCAGAAGAGCTGGTTACCCTTGCTGGAGAAGCTGCCGTCGGCCTTGTCGAAGAACCAGGTGAGGTTCTCGTCCTCCTCGCTGACGGTCCAGACGAGCTTGGGGTGGTCCTTCTTGATGGCGTGGAAGACGTTCTCGGTGACGTTGCTCAGCCATCCCTCCTTGGTGACGGTCAGGGTAGCCAGAGTCGGGTGGGATCGCTCCTCGTTGGGGGGCAGGACGATGGCGAGGCAGTTGAGGGGCTCGTCGTAGTAGGCCTTGAAAGGGGTACCCTTCAGGAACTCGATGTAACGGTCGACGGTGGCCTCGGCGTCCATGCCCTCGCGGTCGCGGATGAGCGTCTGCTTCAGCTTGGCAAGGTCGGGGAACGAGGAGATACTGTCGGCGAAGGCAATCTTGTCTCCGCGGCGGATCAGGGTACCGGCGCCAGAGTCGGTAAAAAGCTCCTTCTGCAGGTCGCTTGGGTGAATGATGGCGACGCTGGAGGTGCGCGGCAGGGTCTCGAGGAGCTCCTTGATCTCCTTGATCTTGAGGCGGGTGCCGTAGCGGCACCATGACTGCGACATGAGGTGGTCGTACTCCTCGTCGAGGTTGATGTGGGAGATCTTGTCGCCAGTCTCGCCGTTGAAGAGACCGCCCTTCTCGGAGAGGTAGACGATCTTCAGGGGCTCGAGGGCGCGGGCAAGCTCGGCGGCGGCGACATCGGCGTTAACGTTGAGGATCTGGCCCTCGGTGGTCTCGGCCATGGAGGTGAGGATGGGGACATAGCCCTGGGAAATGGCCAGCTCGACGGGGGCCTTGTCGACGCTGGTGACCTTGCCGACCAAATTCCACTTCTCCTTGTCCAGGTAGTCGGCGGTCAGGACGGTAGTCAGAGGGCGGGTGCGGACGCCAAGGCTCTCGAGCTTCTCGACGAGCTTCATGTTCTCCTGGAGGAACAGCTTGCGGGCGACGGTCAGGGTCTTGCCGTCAGTGATGCGGATGCCCTCCTCGAACTGGGGCTCAACTCCAGCCTCCTGGAGCAAGCGGTTCAGCTGCGGACCGGCGCCATGGACAATGACGGGGTACAGGCCGACCTCGTAGAGGAAGGCAATGTTCTCGCAGAGGTCATCGAGGTAGTCGGTGAGAATGGCACCGCCGACCTTGATAACAGCGAACTTTTGGGATGAGACGGAGGTGAAGTATGACAGGTATTGCTGGCCCTCGCGGCGGCTGCCGATTTGGCTCAGGGTGCGGATGATGATGGCTCGGGTGCGGTCGCGGTTGGCCTGCTCGGACTGGGAGCTCGTGCTCGAGAGTGCTCGGATGGCATTGAGGCGCTGGAAGGGGTTGCGGACAGCGGCGACACTCTGGTGACGGACGACGCGGGGAATGGCTCGGCGGGTCCCAGCGCGGATAACGGCAGCTGAGAACATGGTGACTATCAGCAACAGGTCAGTGGATTGGATCCCTCAAGGTCTTATTTTCTGGCTCGGTTGTTTCTCTTTCAGCCGTCGCCTACTTCGTCGCAGCCGTCCTAGGTCACGGCGATTTCCGAGAAGGGAAAGAAAATTGACGAGGACGAAGAGAGATTGCGCCTGAGTCAATGGCGAGAGGGGCTTCCGCGTGGGTGCACGAAGACGCAACACAGCCTATACAGCTGGCAAGATGCGGTAGGGAAGCGTTGAGTACACACCTCTTTCGAGCTCTAGTTTTAAATCCTCGGGAGTAGGTGTTTATGGCACACACTTGGGCAGGTATAGCTCGTCACTCTGACTCCTCTCTCCGACTCTTTTCAAACGCCAACAAGGTCCAATTGGGTGCCGACCAACGGAGGGAGCAATTGAGTCAGACAGAATTGACCGACGACGGAGGAGGCCCTATGGACTGGAACGAGGATGGCGAAGGGGACGGACGAAGGAGCAATTGGACCAATTGTTCGCAGAGAAAGGTCAAGACGGAAAGAAGGAGAGGAGAGGAGAGGAGGAGGAGGAGGAGGGGGGAAAGGAGCACCAGGAGATGAAAATCCGAGCAGCAAGAGGGCACGGCGAGGCTTTTTACTTTTTGAGGCCTGCGAAGGTGCCGGGCGTGGGCGTGGGCGTGGGCGTGGTGGGCATGGGACAACCGGTATGATGCAGTGGAGGTGGTGCGGACTGTGGAGGAGGGGCAGGGGGGCCTGAGCCAACGTGTGAAATTTCATTCGACCGAAACCGCTCTGTCTCCCCTCTCTCTGCCATTGCGCTGCTTCGCTTGCCGCATTCCTTGCCACTCTGTGCCAGCTGGCAGGGCTGTCGTCGGTATCGAGTGACTAAGAGAACCTTGCTTTTCACACCAGATACCTGCTACGTACCTACTTCAGGTCCTGTACTAAGGAACATACTTTTTGCTACTCGAGATCGTCCGTACTTGTTCTATTTCCCCCCAATCAACCATCCATCCCTCTCACTACTACGCTCTCTAATCGATATCCCAAACTTGACTCGCAAATACTGGCCTCTACTGTAATACAACGTGAAAGATAAAAACAAAAAATCAGTGAAAGATGCTGACGAAGCACCCACTCCTTGGTCAACCGTCGTCTTACTTATACGCATTACGCTACGCCTGCCCTGCACACGGTGGAGCAAATCCGCACTTCTCTCTCAATTGATTGGGAAGTGGACTCTCGGCTATTGGTCGGATCTGATAAGGAATGCCCCGGTGCAGTACAAGATCACCAAGAGAGCCCGCCAGGATCCGCACTTTGTGGTCCCATCTTTCGCAAGCACGCACACACCCTAGGCAGAGAAAAAAGAAAAAAAGAAAGAGAGAGGCATTTCCTGTTTGTCCCTTGCCCTCGGAAAAAGTTTCCTGAAAGTCTTCATTTCAGTGGCGGCGGAACAATGACCGAGGAAGGGCGAAGCTGCGAGCAGGGCCGACGCGAGCCGAAGCGGGACAAGATACCATAACAGTCGGCGGTCGACCTGGCATTAGATTCGTTTTGGAGTGACTAATTCGTGGAAGGCGCCGAGGTGAGCCCTTCGAGCACCGTTGACTGACCACGGCTGGCTCAGCCTGGATATGTATAGGCCAGAAAGCGACACGTCTCCCAACCCCTCTCGCTATCAGTTCCCGGCCGGGTGGAAACATGACAAGTGGGCACGCAACTCTAAACGCCTCCTCGGATCTGTCGTCTCTCACGCCGGCCCATCGTCGACGCAATCCCGGCCCGGTGCAGGCCACCGCCGAGCTTGAGATGAACCACCAACCATGCAACCCCTCCGCCAGTTGCTGGGCTTGGGCTGGCCTTACTTACCCTTAGGTAACGTCCCATCCATACACTGCCCGAGATCGTGGATCCCCCGTCCTACCTGAGGGGTCTCGACTGCCGGTGACCGCGACCCCGCGACACATCCGCCGTCAATCTGCGAGCGTCGGTTTCAGAACTCCATCCAATTACCTGTCTGAACCCTTGAGAGCAAGACTTGGCCGTTGGCCAGTGTTTCGTAGTTCCTAATTGGCTGGCTGCCTCTTCCTGACGTCGGCATCTATGACAAATGAAGGCATACACACACGCACATGTCACATCACCGTGGACTCAGAGCTCGCCAACGTGGCCGTGGGAAGTGGTTTCAAAGTCTAGCGCGGCTTTTCACTTCACTTTGTTGAAAATACGATGGAAAGGACCAGTCCGAGCCTGGTCCGTCCAAGTATGGAATCAGGGCCAGTAGAATTCAAAGTACGCAAACGCCTGCCATCCCTCATACATACATGCGGTGGATCCGCAGCCGAGCCGAGCGGCCCCAACTGCATCGGAGCAAGTCCCCGAGTTGGCCAGCAGCCCTCTTTGCATGCAGACCATCGAAGTAGATCGAAGTCCGTTTCGAACAACCTCCGCGCTTCCCAAGTCATTAACCCGTCGGGATGGTCCCTGAGTAGCAGGGCGCCCGACTCATCTCCTCGTCTCCCACGGTTGCTCGAAGCCTGCGAGATATCTGACAATTCATTCCATATCATGACGGCGAACCATGAACCCAAGGGGCCAGCGCAATGCAAACAAGTGTGGTATCTAGTTACTAGTGACGGGTAGCAACAACTGGCCGGCCAAGTTAGCGTGTTGCAACGACTATATTCGACAAAAGACAATTGGTTAGAGCCACAACGACAAACAACGCGATCCAAAGGAAAAGTGCTCAAGGAGACCGGGGGGGGCAAGTACCAGCTGGAATGACGATGATGAGGATGAGGATGATGATGCCGGCAATCAGGCACATGCGCATCTTGACATCCTTCCACCACATCTGCTTGCGAACGCGGTTGGCGCCCCGACGGAAGCCCTGGGCCGAGACAGCCAGGTTGTCCGTCTTATCTTGCAGCGCATCCAGACGCTCGCCTCTTTGGGAGACCTTGTTGATGTTCTCGCGCATCACACCGACGGTGTCGTCGATTTGCTATAAATAGAACGTCAGCACATGACTCTGGTGACAATCTTCCGACTACGTGTAGGCGAAACAAATTTGCCCCTGATTGCGACGCCAGCGACCATCGGAGGAAAAAAATTGCGCGTGATCCCGCGGGAGCGGCTGGTGAAGTAGCGAGGCTCTGAATTCATTGTGATGACATGTTGCCAATGTGTCACCCATGTTTGTTGTTGATGCCAATAAGGCTGATGATGTGCGACTGACGTTGCCACGACGCAACACGGCACAACACAACGCGACAACGCAGCACGAAGCAAGGCTCGTGATTGAAGGATCGATATAGTGAGGCCGTGGTTATCATCACGTTCGACCTGGCGCGCTGAAGAATTGATGCGACAGCCCAATCAGGCGTCGTCGGCGTTATGTTGGGTCGCGCGGATAGCTCGGTCGGTCGGTCGTCATCAGGCGTCGTGCATTCCGGGGCCAACTCGATCGAAAGGCGATGACAAAAAAAGGAAAGGAAGATTCTCGCAACGACAAAAAAGGTAGCGCAACTTACAGCTTGCAGAGCCTGAGTCCTCGCATTGCCGCCAGCTCCTCCTTGCTGTTGCGTCGCGGGCTGGCCGCCGCTGGGGATGTAAGGGTCGTAGGGGGCGTCCTCGGGCATCGTCGCTGTGGTGACGGAAGAGGTTGAGGTAGGTGTGAAGTTCGGGCTCGCTGGCGGAGCTCGAGGCAGATGGTAGGATTTAAGTGTTTATTGCGGACTGCCGAGATGCAAGATTGACCTGGACGACCGGTCGGAGTTTGTTCGATGGAGATCGGGCGCGGTTGTTGATAAACGGATGGGAAAAGTGAGGTGTGGTTGGGAAGAGGAGAAAAGGTGGTTGGCGGGCGTAGGAGGGTTGATGAGGTGGTTAAGTTCGGGTTCAGGTGATGAGACGTCTAGGAGCAGAGGCGAGCGCCCGGCCGAAACAAGGTGTCCGTCTGAGGATTTTGGGGGGGTTGCTGGGGAGGGGCGGACAGAGAGAGAGAGAGAGAAAGAAAGAGAGGGACGTTCGAAAGGGGATAACAACCAAGGCCACATTGGGGGATGCTGGTCCACCAATTTTAGCAGAGCTGGGAACGACCCAGCCACTGGAACAAACCAGCACCTCACCTGAAAGGGTGCAGCGCGCAGCACAACACGACCTAAGCACGGCCACCCACCACTGGATATGGATGGATGGATGGACAGGCAGAGGTGGGTGCTGCGCTGCGCTGCACTGCAACAGCTCATAAGGGCCAATCAAGACAGGTGTTTCGACCAAGTCAGAGTCGGACAGGGTACGTACCTGTCGTCTGGTGCCTGGGGAGCCTGGGAAAAAGTGGAAAGCGAGAAAGGTCATGGACGAAGTGAAATGGCTCTCTCTTTCTCTACCGGTACACGAGTAGCCGACTATCTCTAGTGTAAACTCTGCCCGGCAGTCCATGCGGGTGCCCGTAACATGACAAAGGGGGCGGCAGGTCCCTCCCTGAACAAGAACAAGAACAATCCGGATTTGTCTCGACGCAGCACTGCCATTTATTTTCCTTCCTTCTTCTTGCCTTGTCTTGATCGCTGCACATGCAGTCTCGAGCCAGGGGGCCACTTCCATGGAGACCCTACTTCGTACCCTAGGTGCCTGTATAATCCGAGCCTTGCTGTGGCAACGCTGATGAACTCGGGGCTTGTGATGTAATTGTTGAGGCGGTGCTGAAGTGTCGTCACGGCTTGGACCCCGACGCAGCCGGATTGGGCCAGGATTTCATCCCATCCCCTCCAACCTGTTCGGTTCGATTCGTGTTCCATTGCATTGTCCAAGAGACGGCACGTGAAATCCTACCACGTGATGTTTATACCCTCTTGGCCCAGACCTGAGTTTGACCGATGGGTCGACCCGGCGTTTAACCGCGCCCTGTGGCGCTGGGTGCTCATCTCCACACCGTCGGCGGCGCAGCCCTGTGGCTTGGCCATCCTCCCTTAATCCCTCCTTAGTACTTCCTTCCTGCTCTCCCCGTCTTCACAAATCTAATCAACAAATTGCCATAACTACCGGTAATCTTTTTTTAACCCCCCCACCCAGGTGACTGGCAGGCTTGATCCGCAGCTGCGACTTTCGAGAGGGTGCTTATGCATCGGCAGTACGGAGTACGGATATAGTGCGAAGAAACGTAAGGGACCGCTGTTCTAAGCAATCATTAACCTGCCGTCTAGACAGACGTCGAGCAACGTTTGTCAAGCACAAGAAGAATGATCGCTTTGTTGTCGTCGAGCGACGATACCTCTCCAGTATTTATATACCGCTTGATACATCGCGGTTGACGCGCGCAAATAGAACCAATACTGCACGACAGAGGACATCGACTGCCACTGCGATGAAGGCGACGGCAACTGTAGCGTTTGACAAGTCCCGCGTCACGCTTGCAGACACGCTCCCTCCCGGCTGCTGTTGCGACTGCGATGCCCCATTTACCCCCGAACTGTTGCAATGATATTTCACCAGCTTGCCGTCCAAATGTTGGCTAGCAACCAAATTGTGCGTTTTCGTCCGCGTGCTGACTGGGAGAGGTCGAAACATCCATCAACTTGGTCGCGACAGTCATGGGGCCTCTTGTCGCGTCATTCCATTCGGTTCGAGGAATGGATTCGCACGGGGGTTAATTACGCTCTTTACGACACAGGATTGCGGAATCACAAGCCTTAATGCCAAAGAGATGGGCGATGCCCCACGAATTGCGGGATACGGCCTCCCGCTGGCATGCTGCTTCTCTTGTGCCTGGATCAACGCGAGATGCGTTCTCGCCGGAAATTAGTTGAGCCAAGAATGCGGGCTCTACTGCCTTCACATATGCATCGCATCGTCTTACTGATCCACCATCACGAACGCGCTTTCTGTGTCTGTCCATCTCATGTCTCGTGCCTCCAATCATGTCGCTTGGGTGCTGGATGCACTGAAGGGGTGGAGCGGCCAAGTGCTGACGCCCTGCCGGGCTAAGTCGTTCGCAGATGTTGAGCACCCGCTCGCACGAGCGCCGAGCTTCACAAGCCCGCGATCGGCTGGAGATAGACGGCAACCAAAACAACAACAAAAAGAATGATGAGGGTTCAGCGGGAAACGACTAACGATTGAGTTTATGTTTCCATGTCTGCGGAGTTCCAGCACCGCACCTCACACGGAGGATATCCAAAGTTGGAGGAGACACAGAGGTGCCGTTCTCGGTAGTATGCACGTCTTGGCAACGGCCCATGACGATTTCTCCGTTCGCTACCATATTGATCCTGCGCAATGGTTGGCTTCCACGTTCCGGGAGCAGGGCTTCTGGGTTAGTGGGGCTCTCGTTAAGCCCGGCACCCACGGCACTGTTTATCGAATGGCAACCATCCCCGAAGCTCTGTGATGATCGCCGACGTCAACCAGCCCCGGGTTATTGAGTTATTCTCCTCGAATGCCAAGAAGCCCGCGTGCAGTTGAGCGCGACGAGGTCGCGAGACCAAGAGTTCTTGGTTGTCCACCATTACTACAGGCTTCTGGGTCAATCAGTTCGACGAATCTTGCTATACCTATGGCTATGGCCAGAGCTGAAAAAAGAAAAGGAAAAAAAAAAACATTTCAGATAGGACGACATGGTACCCCCGGTTTCAGTGGTGGAAGGACAAGCCCCTAGGCCCCTCGTACACCTCGAATAAGAGAGAGGCAGCTCCCTAGGCCGGGGCGTACGAAAGTTGACGGCAAACAAACTTCGGCCTCGTCGGCTTATCTCGCGCTGTAACTTGGGACATGCGCCAGTGACAAGTCAGCAAGGTGCAGCTGCAGCACCAAGCTTATGGGACGGCAGGGAGTTCGGACCACAGCCGGACGGACCACAGATGGGATGAGGTAAACAGTACACTACACAAGCACCAAAAATCATGGTAAATAAGCATAGCTGCCCATTTTCACGCTAGAAGCAAAAACAATGAAGAAGACCAAAGCCCCCAGGCACATACCACTGACTGCTGGGGACAGCGCGGAAGGGGGAAGAGGGGATATGGGATCATCACAACAGGTAAGACATTGTTACGCTGAGCATCGCTCAGCTGGTTTCGTGAATAATGTTTAGTTTGCCCCCCGAGGTCTCACCAGACCCGTCATGTTCACGTTCTCCCATGCCTCTCTCTCTGCCTCCTGTCTTAAAAGAACCGAGGGCAAATCTTGTCTGTTAGAGAAACCCTCGTATTTGATTTCGAAGCTATTAGTGGACGTCCGCCGCTTGTCGCCTGCCTTCCCGCGATCCCTTGAATGAAGCGGTTCTATCTTTCTTCTGGTACCCTGGACCCTCCTGACTAGAACTCGTATTTACTCCGACGGTCATAAGCACCTCTTTTACACCTGTTCTCTTCCCTCTTCTCTCGGATACCTCGGGCGAACGCACGAAACATAGAGGTGGAAGCAGCAACACTCAAGCGAGCGCAACACCGCCGTCGTCATTCCTTCTATCCGATTCCTCCTTGTTCCTTCGAGCCTGAACTCAGCTTGACTCGACACTCACAAAGTGTCACTTCTCTATTAGGGGCGTCTGGCCTGCATGCACATGCGGTACACAAACGCATTCATACATCATACTACCTACCTACCGATATTAGTACACGTACTTTCCCCAGCTGCGAGCTGTCAGCGTTTGTGTGGCTAGTCCAACCACGCTGTACGAGAAGGAGGCGACAATAGTGACTTCCATCCTTGCCGGCCGTCACCTCTCCGGACCTACTTCATCGCCGCACAAACGTGGCTCGATTCCATGACCACGCCCTGCCCGGTTTACGCTAGGAAATTCTTCACTTGATGCAGCTGTTGGCCGGTTGTTTACTCCTACTTGACGGCACCCACGCTCTCTTCTTTTCGACCTTATTCGAGGCCTGTCCCCTCGGATTCCTCATCAGTCAAATCTCGTCTTTCATGCTGGCTGTCTGTCGAAGCCAATCACTTCTCTTTCGCCAATTCCTCACATCATGACCGCACTGCGGGGTCAGCCATCATGGTCTGTGAGCCGACTTTTGTCGGCAATACTGCTGGTGATCGTCCAGTCCACCAACGCATACAATCTGATCCCCAGTGACCCTAGTAAGTGATATTGCCTTCCTCGATCATGTTATTACTTACAGGTATTGTGCGCAGACAGTGTCAAGACCATCGCAAGGTCAATGACGGAAGACCTCATGTCTTTCTACGACGGAGATAAACCGGGCAATACACCTGGTCTGCTTCCCCTGCCGTACTACTGTAGGTACATTCTCGCGGTCGTTGGGTTCTTGGTTGCAGACTGACACCATCCCAGGGTGGGAGGCCGGCGCCCTCATGGGCACTATGATCGATTACTGGTACTACACCGGCGATGATAGCTGGAATGCCGTCGTCACCCAAGGACTTCTCCACCAAGTCGGCACATATAACGATTACATGCCCGAAAACCAGACATTGACCGAAGGCAACGACGACCAGGGCTTCTGGGCACTTGCTGTCATGTCCGCCGCCGAGCTTAACTTTCCGAATCCTCCCAAGGATAAGCCTCAGTGGCTTGCGCTGGCACAAGCAGTTTTCAACACCCAGGCCGCACGTTGGGATCCCGACCATTGTGGAGGAGGGCTTAGATGGCAGATATTCAACTGGAACCTCGGGTACGACTACAAGAACACCATCTCGCAAGCCTGCTTCTTTGCCCTTGCAGGGCGTCTGGCCCTCTATACTGGCAACACATCCTACTCCGAGTGGGCCGAAAAAACGTGGGAATGGATGGTGAATGTCAAGTTTATCACGGACGATTATTACGTTTACGACGGCGGTCACATTCAGTACAACTGCACAAACATCGTGCCCTATCAGTGGAGCTACAATGCCGGTGGCATGATCCTCGGTGCGGCTGCCATGTACAACCATACCAAGAGCGATGTGTGGAAGAATCGGCTGGATGGGCTTGTAAAGGCGGCCGATGTTTTCTTTGTGGGGTCGGAGAGCAACATCATGCAGGAGGTTGCGTGTGAGACGGTGAATCTCTGCAACCTTGACCAGCAGTCCTTCAAAGCATATCTCAGTCGTTGGCTGGCCGTCGCCACCAAATGGGCCCCGCACTTGACAGAGCGCATCATGGCCAAGATCCGTCCCTCGTCTGTTGCGGCTGCAGCCCAATGCAGGGGTGGAACGAACGGACGCATGTGCGGACTGAAGTGGACCGAGAACGGGACTTGGGATGGAATGCAAGGTGTCGGACAGCAGATGGCGGCCCTCGAAATCACCCTCGGCAACATCGTTGGAATCTCCAGGGACCACGTTACCGCCGAAGGCGGCGGCACTTCTCAAGGCAATCCTGGAGGCGGGGGCAGCGACATTGGACGGACAATCCCGGCCGTCTCACATTATCCACCTTTGAGTCCGGGCGACACGGCTGGAGCAGCAATCCTAACGATGCTGGTTCTCGGGTTGCTTATCGTTGGGATTGCTTGGATGATGATGGACGAAACATCAAAGAAACCCCTCCAGCAGCGGTTTTACGACTTCAGATCCGCGCTTCTCGGGGGCGGGGGTCTGGCGGCTTTGGCCAAGCGACATCAGACGGACGAGATGAATGAGAAAGGCAAAGGGATCGACCAAGATGCTTCCAGCGACGGAGCAAGCTCACGTGGAACCGGTATAATGACCTCGCTACCGCTGAAGGGGAATGATGCGAGTGGCCACCGATATTTGCCACAACCAGACAGCATGGTGTCTGAAATGAGCGGCACATCAGCGATCTCAGCCCGTCCCACGAGGATCCCCATGGTCCGAGAGAAGAGATTGAGCAGGATAAACGGGCACTCTACGCTGCGGAACAGCGTACCATCGCAGCGGTCTGCTCGGATCGAATGACTCGCAAATGAGCAAGAACCTCGGCGAGCATCCAACAGGGGTACTTTGCATTCGCTACTAACGGCGTTTATTGGACG